CCTCTCGAGTTCTTTGCCTTTAGACACCCTCCACACCCGCCCGGAGGCAGACTGCGGACCGACCTGTTCGCCTTGAAAAGGCTTGAGCAGGGGTCTGAGACCCGACGCCACAACACTCCGCGGGTAGTGGAAAAGAGAGCGAACTCCTGTTCGCCCCGTTAGAGAAGCTGTAGAAGCGAGACTTGTCCGGAAGTGCACGTGTGCACCTTGTGACAAGTAGAGCGGGAACAGCTGAAATGTGACCTCCTGTCAGAGCTGTGTCCTCTCGAGTTCTTTGCCTTTAGACAGCGACAGCTAACACCCGTTCGCCGCCATGGCCGAGGGACAGAAGAAGCTTAACCCGTCAGTGATTGCCGCACTCAAGGTCCTGTGCGAAGCAACAGAGGACGACCTGATGGATGCCTTGGAGGAGTTCAGGGTCGCTCACCGTGCCCGCTTGTCAGCGCTTCTGGGACAGAGTGTAGCTGAAGGCTTGGAAGCTTTCAAGCAGCCATACAACGAAGCCAGCACGTACGACCCGGCAGCCCTGGCAGTAGCCCTGTTCGGAGAGCTTCCGGTTTTGCCGGACCCCGGTAGCGATCCCACTGCAACTGGCTCGGGCGATGTACAGCCGGCCCACACATGGGGTCAGCCGGAGGATGACGGCCCTCCAGTCAGCGCTGGTATTCAGACAGTACCGGCCGACTACATGGACGAGATCCTCCCCGAGTTAGACTATGCCCACTTCGATGTAGCCAACAGGTCAGCGTGTGCAGCCGACACTGGCTCCTTGTTCGGAGGCCCCGTGCAGCCAGCCAAGGACGCGGTGTTTGCAGGCAAGGGGTCCCCGGGACGAAGGGCGGTGCTCTGTGTAGGAAGTGTCCTCCTACATTTCCTGCCGACTCTGCCAGTTCGGGGGCGGCCTCCTCTAGTTCGGGGACAGCTGTTACCAAGGACGCCGAGCACTCCAAGAAGGCCAGTCAGCCACAGGAGAACCCGCATCCGAAGCCTAAAGCAGCTGGTGACCCTGGGCCGCAGCCTAAGCTCCCGTCAGGCCCTCCCCTGGGTACTTTCCGGGCTACACCGGCGACCCTAGGGGAGCCGCCGTTCCGGTGCACACGGAGGAAAATTTACCTTCGTGGGCGCCCCTCGCAGCAGAAGACGGCCTGCCCTTTAGTACAACGCCGCCAAACTTCTGGGACCTTAGGTCCGCATGCAGGGTAAGATGCCCGCGTTGTCTGGCGCACACCTGCACGCGACGTAACCTGCGAGGATATAGGCGTGCCCATAGCAGGCACCGATGCCCCCCTTGCACAAAAGCCGAAGGCTAGTGGGGCCAGTTAGTTTTGAAGAGGAGGCCCGTCAGAGCTGACAGATTGACCAGTCAGCGACCCTATGTGGCGGGCCCCTAGTCACAGCAAGCCAGTCAGTGACGCCGAGGTTTGACCTCCTTTTTCGCCAAGGCTGGCCCAGTGGAAAAATGAGCCCCGTCAGGGCAGTGCGCCGTTTGCGGTCGCACACGTTCGCGAGTGCCTGTACCTTTCTAGATGGAAGGTCTAAGTGAAGTACAGCCACTCCCAGTCAGCTCTCGCCGGTGTGAGGTCTCGCCCCTCTGCTGCTAGTTTCCTTGTAAAGTGTGCAGGCAAGTGTGTGACTGTTAGGGGGTGTGTGTGTGTGTGAGAGTACTTTTGTAACCTTTGCAGTTACCACCGGTTTGATATTTGAGGAAACCTTACCCGACAGGGTTCTCTGCTTGCTGCGCCTGCCCCGGTAGTTCACAATCCAAACCAATTCTCCCGCCAGCTTAGCCCGACTCAAGCAGCCCTCCTGGTCAGCATACTGTTAGGAGCGCTCGCGTCATGTGGACTGAGTGTGTCAAGTCCGAGAGACACACCTTCTCAAGCCTTACAAAAGTACTGTTGCACAAGAAGCTCGTGCAGTTCCTGCCACAACTCCAGGCAGCTGGCATCCAGTCAGCCTGTGACCTCGAGCGACATCCCAGGTCGTCCCTCCGTGGCATCCTCGGCGACGTGTTGCTCGATGAGTTGTTGGCCTCGGCAGCCCGACCTAGCAAAAAGTCTCGTCAGGACATACCCCAAGTGCTACCTCGGACCCGGGGCTCTTTGCAACGTCTGGGCATTGAACCCTCTCCTGCACGACCGATGGGCCGCAACCTCTCAGG